GATCAGAGGCCCGGCCACACACTTCCACCCAAACTCTCACGGGAGCGGACTGTGGGAACCCAGAGAGGGCAGGGAGCCGGAGTAGTAAAGAAATGTACGTGTGTGTGTGTGTGTGTGTGTGTGTGTGTGTGTGTCTGTGTCTTGGAGAAGTAAGCAGTTCCCGAAGACACAAAACTTCAACACTCCCCAGTCTATATGGATAGAGGAGGGCGATCAAGGTCGGCCGCCCTGGTTTTCTTTAAAACTAGACCCGTAGACGCGCTAACAGCTTAGCTAGGCAGAGCTGGGATTCCGCTTTCCCCGGCAGACTGACACTCCCCAAAGCAGGTGCCAAATCTCTTTGGGGTGGGGTCTCTTCCCCTTTCCCCTCCCTCAAGCCTGCCCACTCCCGGCTTCTGGACTACTGAGGAAATTGTAGAGTTTGCTTCCGGCTGCCCCACTCCCCACCTTCCAAGCCAGGCGCTGGGCTTGGGACTCGGAGAGAAGCTTCCCCCAGAGGATAGGGCTCCTGAAGCTTCTTTTTCCTTTTCCTAAGAGGCCGGATGAGGGTTAGCAAGCCTAACAACCCCATACCTCTCCCTACCCCCGCGTCCTCTGCCAGCTCTGCCTACCTGGCATTTTGAATTTTAACAAGATTAATGGAGAAGAAGGAGACGAAAAAGGGCGCGTTTGGCCCCACCACCTAGAAAACTTAAAACAAACAAAAACTTTCCAAGATTCAACTGCAAATCTGGAAGGTGACAGTGAATTGTGACGGTGAATTGTGACTTACGACGGTGAATTTCTGACCTGAGAGGCCGATGAGAGTTAGTGAGGTCGGGCTTCAGTTTTACTTTCTTTCTCCCTAGGCTCAACCAGCCCGAGTTTTCAGACAGAAGAAATTTGAAGCTAATGAAGATCTCAAACACAGCCGCGATTCCGAGGGCCCCTTTTCCGCCACAGGCACCCACCGTCCATATGCACGTGTAATCATAGAGACTTGCCATGTCTTCATCACCAGGGGCTCCAAGGAAAGGGAAGAAAATGCTCTGTCGTGAAAAGGAACCTTGTGTAGTCACTACTATTATTTCCATATAGCGACCTAAGAGTTTCCTTGTCCTCTTAAAATTCCCCCACAATATTGAAACAGCATTTGTTTTCCCATTCTTACAAACGCTTGAGGCCTTTCTGGAAAACCATTACCATTCAATGGCTAGAAAATTGCTCTCCTTCCTTTAAAAAAAAAAAAAAGGCAGGCGCAGCAGCAGCTACAACAGACAACAAAAACTTTCTCCCGCATAAACCTCGCTCTCAGAATGACAAAGAAATGATATTGACTTACCCCCGAACGAAAGAGGTGTTTGATAAGGGGGGAACTTTTTTTTTGAAGATTTCTGTTGGGGAGCTGCACGGACAGCTGCAATTCATGGGCGACGCTGATTGCCAGAAACGCTATGGATTGGCATGGGGTCTGCAGCTCACAGATCCCTGATCAATACCCCTACACTCACACGCCAGATGGTTTGGGGAAGGACAAAAATAAAATATTCCAAATCTACCCACCATTATGTTTGTGTGTGTGTGTGTGTGTGTGTGTGTGTGTTTTGCTCTGATAAACCTAGTTGTAGCACCAGTGTGTTCTACCCTAACACAAAACATGAGATTTCGAGCATTGGGGTAGAAAGGAGCAGTCCCACTCTACCCTAGATTTGGGTCGTGGTTACTGTTGTATAGTAAAAACAAAGCTATTGGTCCCCTTATGCAGATTGGGTTTACTTGTGGTCTGTTTATCTTTTTCCGTGAATAATTTATAAAGTCTCTCTTTTAATTGAATGTTCACCTCTGTGTGTGTGTCTCTCTATATTTAAAAACAATTTTAATGTGTGAAACACATATGAAAACCTCGATAGTAAATATTTTTAGTCTTTTACTCAAATTTAGAGTTGTATTCTTTTACAGTGCAATAGCCTATAACAGCCTTGTTGTCAAAGCTGCATTTTATTTTCATGCTTCTTTTGACCCATTTAAGTTTCTGATCTTGAAGAAAATTGGACCTGTGAATGTGGTATGCTAAGTGAATATTCAAGTCCTGATATAATGCTTGGTACAACTGTTTGTCCAGATTCTAATAGCCGTGAACTAGCACTTACCGCACCACATTTCTATACAGTGTGTTTGTAAATCAAATGCTGGTGGGGTGTGGGGGGAAAAAGGAGTGTAACTTCAAATTAAAAGAAAAAAATTCCAAGTTGCAGAACTTCTGAAGGTTAAAGTATGGATGCTAAACAAGGGGCAGTTAGAAAGCAACTTTCTCTTATATTTTCTTAAAGAACTATAGATAAAGAAACACCAAAAATATTTCAAAGCATACTTGAAAATCGTATTAGTATTGATATTCCAAAAATTGCTTATAAGTAGAAAATATTGTTCTTTTTTAGAAAGAAAGAGAAAAGGGCATCCAAACCTAATTCAATAAAAATTACGGTGCTCACTAAACAAGCACATCCATTTTCCTTTTAAATGGATTTTGGGTTGAAACATAAAACCTCAAACCACCATTAGAAAAACAACGTGAAAAATCTGCTTTAATCTAGCCCAATGAAATTATACACAAAGAAACCAATACGATTTCATGATTTCCCTGAGATCGCCAATATTGATCGAGGGAAGGCGGAGGGATGGTGGGAGAGAGGGAGGAGGGAGGGAGGAAGGAGGGAGAAAGGAAGGAAGCAAGGCAGCAAGAAAAAGCAACTCACCTTTCTGCTCCCAGGCTCACGGAAATATGATTCCCAGGAGCAGATTTATCTCAGTGTCCTGGCAAATGAGTTTATCATTTTGAAAAATTATTTAAATGGCAATTTATATACCTAGGTTTCTGTATGAAGGAAGCGTCAGCTTAGGGTAGCTGGCCGCTAGTTGAGCCTGAAGTCTGCGTAGCAGTGGAGGCTACCTTAGCACTGGGCATATCAGACCCATTAATTCCTAGTTCTGCTTCTCTCCTGCTGTATTTCAGTCCCTGTGCACTCGTGGACCAAGAGCAGGTTGCACTCTTGTGAACTTCTTTTCAACTCAGTGTTATATTTCAAACATTAACTGATTAAAATCATCCCAAGTGTCCAGCTGCCATAGATAAGGTAGGGAGTGCGAAGAGAGATAGTAGGATAGAGACAGTAGGGGTGAGGAGAGGCAAAACAGAGAAACCAAAACCTGAGTTATTTTACCTGTCTCCTGTTGTGACACTAAAGATGTGAGCAACCAGAAAAGTCTGTCTGGCAAACCAGGGGATCTGTCGCTTTCTTACTCAGGCTTTGATAACACAGAGAAGATGCTATTTGAAAGAGTAATTGGCAGCGTATTGGCCAGAGCTCAATAAAGTTGATCTATGAATAACGTCACTGTACATTCATGTGACAGGGTGGGGGTGGGGGTGTTCCTCTGAAGCTGGGAGAGAAGGGCGGCAGAAAAGGTCATTGAGAGACTAAGAACTGTTTTCCAAATGAATTGAACCTTCCTTTAGCACCAAGAAGGGATATACAGTATTCCGGGCTGTGTCCTTGTTTTCTTATCAAGTTTTCTCTAACAGCTGGAAGTGGTTGAAGGGGGCTGTCTTAAGGAGACCCCCTGCTCTTCTTTTGACAGCTGATCAAAAGAAAATAGGTCACGCTTCTCAAACTTATGTCCACCCTGTCCTTAATTACTGTCTCTTTAAACAAAGGCAACATCTGCGCAACCTCAGCTAGCTTGAATCTTCGGAGGCAAACAGAGCGCAAGCTGCTTTGGAAGAATCTGTTACTTTTAAGGCTTTATGCTGGGGGTTGGCCTCTCTGGCTGTCTTCAACCACCTCTCCACCCCCACTCGGGCTACAGAAATCTTCAACTCCTCTGTCCCCCAGTTCCACTCCCACCTCCAGACCTGGGGTTGCCAAACAACGGAAATTCTAGGAAGACGTAGGTGCACTTTTTAAAGCCTCGGCTTACGGAGCGTTTGCGGACCGGCCAGGGCGCTAGTCTTTTCAGAAACAAGGTTTGAATATGCAGATGTCAGCCTGGGCTCGTTGTCCTCTGCCCACCGCGGTTCCTCTCCCGGGATTCAAGAGAAGCGTGTGTGTGTGTGTGTGTGTGTGTGTGTGTGTGTGTGTGTGTATTTAGCGTGTGTTAGGAGTAAGATAGATCTGCGGGTGTGCTTACTCTCTGCCCCCAGGAGAAGTTTGCTCACTAGGAACACCAGCGACCTTCCTCACCCCCACCCCACCGATTCTACACTCTACCCCTTCTTCCAAGTCGCTGATGGAGAAGCACTTGGTCACCTTGAAACGGCAGCTCCCGGAATTCTAGTTTTGTTTTGCAATCTATCAGGGCCCTTCGGAAGCCTCATAACTGAGATGTATGGACTCTTCGGGTAATTAAATGATGTTACTGTGTTAACTTTGCATGCATTTCGGCGGCCCACGCCACTCGTGGGCCGCCGACCGGCAGCAGCTCGCTGGCGGCGAGGGCGCTACAGTAGCTCTGGCCGCAAAGATTATGCACACCCCTGCCTCGGGAATTTACCGTGCATTCGAATACATTAGCGCCTGCATTTTAAAAGGCTAAAACTGCTGGCTCCCAGCTAGGGACTCTCGGGTAGTGGCTTGCTAGCGACGAGTGTTTGTCTACACCGCACACAGCGGAGTCTTTTGCTCCCCGCTTACTCGCCTCCTGGAAAGCTTTGGGGTGAGGTGAAGGCGACTGAAGCAATGCCCCTTCCCCCGGATCACAGCTGCCCAGGGGGCACACAGCGCGGCTTCTTTCACCGAAACTCGCTGGCTTGCTCGCTCGCACTCCAGCCTCCTTCTCCCCAGCGCCCCCCCTCCCCTCCCTCCCTCTCCTTGACGTTTGATTCCAGTAGCAAAGGAGGAAAAAAGGCACCGAGCCGTCAGCCAAACGTGAAACGCGTGCCCCCGCCCCCTCCACAGCCATTGGCAGCTACCCATAGAAGGCCCGCCCCCCGGGGCAGCCGTGGCCTCGGAGTGGCTGCGCATGACGCCCGTCGGGCGCGGCCCCGCCCCAGGTCCGGGAGGGTAGGTTGGCTGCCCCGGCGAGCGGCAGAGCCCTTCTGGACAGCTCCCGCTCACCCAAACAGAAGACGTCGGCGCCGGAGCGGGCTCGGACATGGCGAGGCAGCGCGCCGGCCCGAGCGGCGGGGCCCGGTGATCCCTCCCTCCCTCCCCGTCCCCTCCCCTCTCTCGCACGCACTACCCGTCCGCCCCCACCCCGCCCCCACCCCGGGCGAGCCCGCCCGCAGCCCGGGGCGCACACCCGCACGCGCGCTCTTCTCCACGCACTCCCGCACTCCCGCGCCCGCCCCCGCTCCCGCGGCCGAGCCCCGCCAAGCGCGCCTTGCCCGCCCGCCGGCCGCCCCCGCCGCCCCTGCCACCCCCGGGCCCCGATGGACTGAATGAAGGCTGCCTACACCGCCTATCGATGCCTCACCAAAGACCTAGAGGGCTGCGCCATGAACCCGGAGCTGACAATGGAAAGTCTGGGCACTTTGCACGGGCCGGCCGGCGGCGGCAGTGGCGGGGGCGGCGGCGGGGGCGGCGGGGGCGGCGGCGGGGGCCCGGGCCATGAGCAGGAGCTGCTGGCCAGCCCCAGCCCCCACCACGCGGGCCGCGGCGCCGCTGGCTCGCTGCGGGGCCCTCCTCCGCCGCCGCCAACGGCGCACCAGGAGCTGGGCACCGCGGCAGCGGCGGCGGCGGCGGCGTCGCGCTCGGCCATGGTCACCAGCATGGCCTCGATCCTGGACGGCGGCGACTACCGGCCCGAGCTCTCCATCCCGCTGCACCACGCCATGAGCATGTCCTGCGACTCGTCCCCGCCTGGCATGGGCATGAGCAACACCTACACCACGCTGACGCCGCTCCAGCCGCTGCCACCCATCTCCACCGTGTCTGACAAGTTCCACCACCCGCATCCTCACCACCACCCGCACCACCACCACCACCACCACCAGCGCCTGTCCGGCAACGTCAGCGGCAGCTTCACCCTCATGCGCGATGAGCGCGGGCTTCCGGCCATGAACAACCTCTACAGCCCCTACAAGGAGATGCCCGGCATGAGCCAGAGCCTGTCGCCGCTGGCCGCGACGCCGCTGGGCAACGGTTTAGGCGGCCTCCACAACGCGCAGCAGAGTCTGCCCAACTACGGTCCGCCGGGCCACGACAAAATGCTCAGTCCCAACTTCGACGCGCACCACACTGCCATGCTGACCCGCGGTGAGCAACACCTGTCCCGCGGCCTGGGCACCCCGCCTGCGGCCATGATGTCGCACCTCAACGGCCTGCACCATCCGAGCCACACTCAGTCCCATGGGCCGGTGCTGGCGCCCAGTCGCGAGCGGCCACCCTCGTCTTCGTCCGGCTCGCAGGTGGCCACGTCGGGCCAGCTGGAGGAGATCAACACCAAAGAGGTGGCCCAGCGCATTACCGCGGAGCTGAAGCGCTACAGCATCCCGCAGGCGATCTTCGCGCAGAGGGTGCTGTGCCGGTCTCAGGGGACTCTCTCCGACCTGCTCCGGAATCCAAAACCGTGGAGTAAACTCAAATCTGGCAGGGAGACCTTCCGCAGGATGTGGAAGTGGCTGCAGGAGCCCGAGTTCCAGCGCATGTCCGCCTTACGCCTGGCAGGTAAGGCCGGGGCTAGCCAGGGTCCAGGCTGCGGGGGAGAGGGCTCCGGGTGCTTGTGGCCCAGGGCTGCGCGCCCAGTCACTTCTCTTGATTCTTTCCTTCTCTTTCTCACACACGTCCTCTTTCTTCTCCTTTTAATTTCTTCTTCCATTTCCTCTTTCTCTTCTGCTCTTCCCCTACTTTCCCTTCTGTTTTTTTCTTCCTTACTCTCTTCTTGTCACTGAGCTTTCATTGACCGATACCCGTCCCCCATTTAATTCTCCCTCCTCCCCATGGGCCAACCTTTGCCCTCTTTCCCATCTTCCCAGGTACTGGGAGGCGGGATGGGGGTGTACGGTTTCCTCTAGGAGCCCTGTCTTTACAAGACTCACGGAAACCCGGACCTGCCCTTATTCAAAACCCTGTGCTCTTCAAGTCTGTTTTAGGCAACACATTTCAGTTTTCCGGGCTGCCTAGTCTCCCTGTGCAGAGGCAGTTGAGAGGCTTGGCTCTGCAGAAGAAAAAGAGCACTCTACTCTCCCACCCGCCATATAGGCAAACTTATTTGGTCACTGGCCGAAGGCACAGCCTTGCCCGCGCGGGAAACCGGCGGCCGGGATACAACAGCGCTCCCGGAGCCCGTCTCTGGCCTTGGCGTTGGCGCAGGGACTTTCTGACAGGGCTTGACGGGCTCGGGCCGGCTCCAGTGTCGCTGCCTACTGCGAGGGCAGGGTGTAAGGTTGAGACGGTCCTATTCACCGCTTTGGGTGGACGTGGGAGAAAAGACTGAGGTGGAAAGCGCTTTGCCTTGCTCACCGGCCGCCCTTGCCCCGCAGCGTTTGCTGGGATTTGGCAGAATTTGCCGGGGCTCCGGGATATCCTGGGCACTCGCGGAAAGAGGTACTGAGAAACTAAAAATTCAGATTAGTTAATGCATCCTGGCTGCGGGCTGCAGGCTCCACCTTTGCATTAAGCGGGCGCTGATTGTGCGCACAAGGCGGCCAAGGGGAGGGCTGGCGGCCCGCGGGAGGGGACCGGCAGAGGCGCGAGTTACATTGTTCTGGAGCCGGCTCTGCTCTTTGTGCCTCCTCTAGCGGCGGAGCCGCGAGGTACAGCCCTCTATTGTTCTAGGAGCTCAGAAACCTCCTCTGTGGGCGGCGGGTGAGCGAGCTAGAGGGAAAGATGCAGTAGTTACTGCGACTGGCACGCAGTTGCGCGCTTTTGTGCGCACGGACCCCGCGCGGTGTGCGTGGTGACTGCGCTGCCCCTAGGAGCCAGCCACAGACCTAGAGGGGAAAAATGTCCAGGCCCCCCACTGGGAAGGACACGCTATACCCTTCTACATGCCGAGATGAGTGGCTTCTTGTGGACCGGGGGAGGGGGGTATGTTTCAGGATCAGCGAGCGATCTAGGGAAACCATTCGTGGTGGTGATTGTTTGCATAGCGCGGATCTTGGGATGTGCGTGGTTCGGAGCTGGCCACGCACGGCTTGCTTCCGGAGCTGCGAGCTCAGGTTTCCACCCCTGATCCCCCGGGCTTTCCTCGCACTGCTGAGCCTGGCTTGTGGGGTGCACTCGACTGACACCCGACAGGACTGGGGAATGTGACTGTCAGGAGATTCACCCTGGCTTGGGGAGGGGGCGTTTCCTCTCTGACAGCATCTTCCTTTGCCAGCTGCTGGTGGATTCCGATTCCCAGTTCGTAATCACCCCGCAGTGTTAATCTAAGAAGGTAAAGAAAACCAACTTCTCCTGAAAAGAGTCTCCCCCAAATCGATAGACTCCAGATACTTTGAGTGCATTAATCTATGTAATCTTTCTCCTTTAGTTTATTCTTTATCCTCTCCTACAGTTTTATCTGATTTGCTGTTGGTCCGGGGCAAGAGAAAGCAGCGAGTAGAGAGTAATAATAATAGTGAGAAATAAACTGGAGGCTTACTGTTAGTTCTTAACATTGTAATACCCCTTTGTCACAGATCCTCCCCAAATGTCCTAGGCCCTCTCTACTGGGTTTTAGCACCCACCAGCTTCTTGGGCACAGGGAACCAGAAGGAACTTGGTAGCTGGTCTTGGGGGTACAGTTAAAGGCAGGATGACAGCTATTCTACTCCTCATCTCAGAGCGATGCCGCCCCCTCATGCCGGTCGCTCAAAGAACACAGCTTTTAAAAAACACTTGCCTTATGCCCATATACATCTGGAAGTGATGTGCAAAGTAATGCTTCGCCTATTAACGAGTTTCAGCTTTTACAATGACGCCAAGCATTGCTGAGATGAGAACGTGTGGCATCCCCGGGGGTCTTCAGCCCCACCCACGCCCAGAGTGCAAGTCTCCAGGGGCAGATCCGGGAGAGCGCTACCCACGCCGCTAGATTTTCTGCAGAGGAGAGCTGAGGCCGCCTTCTTGGGAGGCACAATGCCTCCTCCAGAGAGTGGGAAAGGCCTGCTGAGGACCCCGCTTTGCTCGAGCATTCAAATGTGTGTCTGTTTTATTACCTTGGGTTGAAAAGGGACAAGAGCTTTAGCCTTTTTATCTGGCCATTTTATCAGCAACTACAAGTGTGTTGAGTGGTTACTATTACATAGGAGGCTTTTCAGTTTGAGGTCAGTAGATCAGTCTCTTCAGACACTGACGCAGAAGCTGAGACTGGTAAGTAGGTATTATGTGCTCGGAGCGCTAGGGGACAGGAGCAAATGGAGAAGAAAAGCGGAGGCTTTCTCCGCCCCGAGTATCGATCGGAATCCCCTGCTGGGACGCCTTAGGGGTGGGCCGTCACCGTTGGTCCCCGAAGGTTTAACAAGCCCAGCGGCTTCGAGGCTCCTGCTGGACTCCCAGATTTGTGCTGTTCCAACCCCCCCCCCCGCCCCCCACCATCTCTCTCTCTCTCTCTCTCTCTCTCTCTCCCTCCCTCCCTCCCTCCCTCACACATTATAGGTTCCCTTTCTCTTTCATTTTGGCCCCGCCCCCGGTCCTGCCAAAGAGCCAAGCTGGCCGGGGTTTAGAGGGCTGAGAATGAAGAGGTCTGATTTTGCCAGGGCCGGCAAAGCTCACCCTTAGGCGAGGTACAGCCCTTCGCGACAGAGGCGGGTCCTTCCTCCGCAACCTGCCCGTGTAGTCACAGCCAAGGGTGGTACTTGAAAGGGAAAGGGAGAAAACTTCGGAGAAATTCAGATTGCCCCAACGTTAGATTTCAGAGGAATTGACTCCAAATGCATGGATTGATTCGGAAAGGGCGGCTAGGCTGCAAGTGATTGCAACGCTGCCCAGTCGGGCCTCCGCGGAGGTTCCCCAAGACCAGCCCTCGCAGGGCGGTTTTTATCAACCTGACAAGAGGCAGCCAGGACAAATTCCCGCGGGTTCGAGCGCACGCTCTCCGGCGTTAGGCCCCGGAGACTTCTAAACCAAGCACAAACACAAGCAAGAAGGGAATGAGAGAACCCAGGCTAGAACTTGAACAGGGGTCCCATGGAAGGAAAACGAGGCCTCGGTAGCAGACGTGTTTTCTTCCAATGCCCATAAATCGAACGGAGCGCCCCGCTGGATTCCTTGCGGAAATTTCCGCCTCAAGTGAGCCGGGATCCCCCAGCGGCCTGCCCCGCCCCACCAGAGGTCTGTAGTCCGACAAACGGCCCACTCCAGGCAGCAAGCCTCCAGTGGCTAGTCTGAAGCCAGTTCTGTTCAGGCGGCCAAGGACCCTTAGCCAACCCACCATGATGTCGCCTAGGCCACCTGAAGCCCGCAGTGTCGGGACACAGCCCCGGCAGTGCGCAGCGGCTCCTGCTAGGGGCACCACGTGCGTTCTTGTCTCCCGCTGGCCGGGGACGTCCTTGGGTAACACAGGCCGCCGGGCACCTTCCAAGCCGAGGAAAGCGGAACCCCTTCGCACAGTCTCTCGCCCACCCCGCAACCTCCCACCTGCTCTCTAGCTGCTCGGGCTCCGGGTTCGGCCCACCTCTCATGAGGCCGTTTAGAGATCCGAGCTGGAGAGGCTGAACACAACCCGCGCCAGTACAGAACAGATGATATGTTCGCTTGCTGGCTGCCTGGATGAATAATTGAAAAGTTCGCCTCAGTCTCTGCTTCATCAAGTCTGAGGTGCCGGGAGAACACCTTCCCAACACGCAGCAAGCTGGGCGGGAACGGCAGAGGAGGCGGGACCCGAGGGAGGAGAGTGAACCCGAGTAGGAGTTGCAGCCCAGGCAGCCAGGCGCCCTCGACGCGAGAGGCTGGGCATTTATTTTTATTCCAGGCTTTCCACTGTGTGGTTATGTCACTTTCTCAAACAAATGTGTATATGGAGGGAGATCGATGCTGATAATGTTTAGAAGATTAAAAGAGCATTAATGCTGGCAACAATAACGTAAACCTGTGGACCCAGATTTCATTGATCTGGAACTTGATCCGGCGCGTTTCCAGTAAGCCCAACGGCGCGCTCTTCCCAGAAGAGCGCTCGCCAGCGCCCCGGCCCCGTGAGCTTTCCAGCCGTCCGGCTCCGACAGCTCCTCTCACGTTCTCCCGTCTGACCGCAGCTCCTCCCCCGCGTGCTCCCAGCCACTTCCCTGAGGTTTTTCTCCTCTCGCGGGGCTCCCCGCCCTCTCCTTCTGTCCCTGCGCACACACACCGCTACTTGCACTTTCTGCGGTCCCTCTGGGTGGCTGAGTCCGCTTAGCCAATTCGCAGACCGGTGCCTAGCTCTGCTGTGCTTGGCCATTGCCATTGAACCCTCGTGACTAAGCCTAAGTTTGAAAATGAGGTGGCTAAAGCTGCCTGCTAACGGCGGCGCTTAATTAGCTGCAGATCCCCTCCCATCCTCATCGGTTCTCGTACTAAAAAGTCTCACTCGCAGCCTTTTTACGCAGATGCATTTGTTGTACAGTTAAACGTGGTCCTAGTAACAAAATCCTGAGCTTCATCCCTCTGAATAGCAGGCTCTGCGCTGGGCTGGTCGGGTCTACCAGGGAGAAGAATCTTGTGTGCTACCTTGGCTGGGACAGGAAAAAGTTAAGAGCAGAGTGGGGAAC